ATGATAGGCATTTGAAATCTACTTTAAATTCACATTTCTTCAATATACTGTACTACCTAGACATTGCAATTACACACCATTACAAACTCTGAAACTTTAAAAACTGTAGTTATAAGTATCATATTTTCCATTTGTATAATAAAATTGCATATTTTGCTGCTAAAGTTTTTTTAAAATCACTGCTTTTAATACACTGTAACATAGGAAGATCTAAATGAACTATAAGTAAATTATTTTAAAATGCAATTTCCATGTTGACTTCAGGTACAGTAAATGAAAAAGGAAAAGTGAATTGCTTTAATTTGTGTGACAGGAGGTATATGTATTCATATACCCTCCACAAATATTCCATGCAAAAAAAGATTTAAAATGATTATTTCTTGCTTATGTAAATGTATGGTTTTGCCCCTACTATATTTCCTGACTTTTCTTCTTTTTCTCTCTTCGTTGTTTAATCCTTAAATTCTCCCTTTCCATTTAACTGTATTATACCTTTCAATTTTTATTTCTTCTTTTGAGTTCTTACACTAGGGAGACAATACAATATTCACACATGTGCGTCTGGTTCATTTCACTTATCAGTATAGCTTCAAGTTGCATCCACTTATATATGAAGGTCTCAAGTTTATTTTTCTTTGTAACTGAGTAATACTCTATTGTATAAAAACACATCTTCATCCATTCCTCAGGTGATGGGCATTTTGGTTGTTTCCAAGATTTGGCTATCACAAATTGTGCTGCTATAAGCATAGGTGCACATACATCACTATGATATGATGTTTTCCGTTCCTCTGGGAAAATTCCCAGAAGGGGGATAGCTGGATTGAATGGGATTTCCAGTCCTAGTTTTTTGAGGAGTCTCCACACTGATTTCCATAATGGTTGCACTAGTCTACATCCCCAGCAAAAAGGTTCCTTTTTCCCCATAACTTCTCCAACATTCCTTGTTGGTTGATTTCTTTAAGATGGTCATACTTTCTAGGATGAAATGGTATCTCAATGTTGTTTCAATCTTCATTCCTCAAATGGCTAGTGATGTGGACCATTTTTTCATGTATTTATTTGCCTCTTGTATTTCTTCTTTCGAGAAGTGTGTGTTCATCTCAGATGCCCATTTTTAGATTGGATCTTTAAAGTTTGGGGCCCTAATATTTTTTAGTTCTTTATAAATTCTAGATAGAAGACCTTTGTCTGAGTGTTTATACTAATATTATTTAGACAAGATATCATGTCTGCATATTGTCCTCTGATTAACTACTATGAAGACAACAATATGCAATGTATTAATTATTGTAACTGTCCTACTATCCTGTTTTGAAACTGTTTCATTGCTATTTTATCTTTTTT